TCTCGAGAGACCCAAGTGTCGGAAAATCCTCGTCAATATCTATTAGCACCGTTCCCGGAAGGGATATAATAGATCCGCGTTGATCGGCGCGTCTGTTCGAATCGTCGAGTGGCAATAAAAAAGAGAAGTTACATCGATTCGCGGAGCGGAACGATATTTACACGATCCGGAGTTCTGTTTGAAATATTCGCGACGAGTACGGCGATGTACAGAGCAGCAATAAATTTCGATGGCCAATAAATTATTCAAATTCGCCGGGCGCTACCGGGCTCCGTTGAAACCGGCTGGCGAGCCGGGAGACGGGCAATTCGAACCGGTCTCGGGAAAGCCGATCATCTCTGCGGGGAGAAAAACGGGCCACGGCGGCCCGCCGCCGATCAGCAAGTGTAATGACGCCGCATTAATATTAATATTCGGCATTCGTCTCCGCGCGAAACCCGGCGGACGTTTGTCCATCAATATTTGCACGAGCGTGTGCGCGTTCTGCTGCTGGGTGCAGCTCTGCTGTTTACCGACGCCTCTCGTTTCTGCCGGTTTTAATGGCGTCGGGGCCCCGCTCCGATGCCCGTCTGTTTGCAACCACCCCGCCCTCGGATCGACGTCGTTCCGTCGTCGTTTACCAAACTTTCTCGGTTTTATTCCGGCTGTTACGCTCCTTCCGTTTGTCTCCGCCTGGGATTCTTCGATCATGCCCGACCGTTGCGACACGACTACACCGAAATCGCACCAGTTGCTCCCCGCGTAGGAGATTACAGGGGCATCGTTGAATTACAGTATACGAAATTTCTGTAAGATATACTACTAGTTTTAATAGAAATGTAAACAATATCGATAATGTAATAGTTAATCGATAATTGTGGTATATAGTCCTAATATTAGTAATATTATTATTTATTATTATTATTATACTAATACTATAATATACCATTAGTCCTAATATTAGTAATGGTATATTATAGTATTAGTATTATATACTATATATATATACTATATATAATATACTATAATATACTATATATTAGTGGTATTAGGACTAATATAATAGGACATAATTGAGGCGTAACAGAAAGCTGAAAATCAGTGTACAGAATTTATTGCACAGATATTTGCATTTTCTGCAGACCATTTTTTGACTGTTGGATCCGTGAAGATTAAATTTGCTTTCATCCGAAAATATTACATCATTACACCACCAACTGTCTTTGTGAAAATATTCTTTTGCAAATTTGCGAAATAAAAAGAAATGGTGTGGCGTAAAGTAAATACAGAATTAAACATTTCAAATTTAAGACCGACAGTGAAACACGGTGGTAGGGGTGTAATAGTGTGGGGTTATATCTCGTCTGTAGGTGTAAGTGAATTATTTTTTGTCGATGGTATTATGGACGAAATGAAGTATTTGGACATTTTTAAAAAAAATTTAATTACAAGTGCTATAAATATGGGTATACGTACAGTTTTAAGTTTTATCAGGACAATGATCCTAAACAAAAGGTCAGAATTGTACAGGAATATTTATTATACAATTGTCCAAAAATACTGCATCCTCCTCTTCAATCGTCTGATTTAAATCCAATTGAAAATTTATGGGATCAATTGGATCGCAAAATTCGTACAACACCTACAAAGACAACGACAGAGATGAAACAACGTTTGTTAGGCGAATGGAAACGGATTTCGCCGGATTATTTAAATAAAATCATCTGCAACATGCCCAAGCAATTACACGAAGTAATAAAACAAAAGGGTCAACCGACAAAATATTAATATTATGATAACATGATTAAAAAGATTTTCATTTTATTTAAAATTAATGTAATTCATTCACTGTCCGAATATTTTTCAGACGTAGAATTTTGTCACGATCTTGTTTATCGCTTATTATACAAAAAACCATGTGGAATAAATAAACAAAATTTATGTTTCTACTTACTTTAAGAAGTGCTTTATTATATGAGAAAACAATTGATTCAATAATACTAATTTAAACAATAAAAAGGAGCAATAATTCTTCTAACAATATGGTGTCGGAATATTAATGCGAGTCAGTGTATGTATAAAAACAGTTCCAAATTTCGCTACGTTTCCGTGTAATAATCAGTTATGCTAACAATAAACAACGTATTTTAAAAGTAAACACTAAACCTACCGAGTCGGTCAAAATGACCAGTTTCGCGTTTTATTGTATATTTCCGAGTTGCTGAATTTGGAAAAGCTCTCTTTCGTGGAAAATGATCGAATAAATTTACTAATTCAAGCATGCATTATATTATAAATGGCAAGAGGTCTGAGTGAAATCAATTTTATCGTTCAGATAACACAATTCGTGTCAGTCACTTTTAGCGGAATTTCATCGAATCGCCAATTAATTCGGCGCACAGTTTTTACGTAAATTCGAATCGCCGTCTTCTCTGACAGAAACATGGAAGCTGTTCAAAATTGACTGCTTGCCCAGCTGTACATGCATCCGGGATGCATATTTTATCGTCGGCATTGCGACGATGCTTAACCGTCGTATTACAGCGTCGATCACTATTAATCGGGGCGGAATGTTCGGTAAAAGGTTTGGCGCCGGATCCGGCAAGTGTTTTTTCCGCTGGAAATGGCTCGCTTTTCCATTGATGGCATTTCGGCGAGCTCGTTTGCGGCCGTCGCCGACACGCCGCCGATAAATATGTGATTCGTCCGGGGAGACGGACCGCAATATGGGATCTCGTTTGATAGTCTACGAGTATCCGCCGGCAGCGAAGTTAGATACAGTTAGATCCCCCCGGTGTATGCCCAATTTTAGATTGCACCCGTCGGACGGTTATTATATTTAACGAGAATGTAAATAATTCCCTGTCTGGCTCACCCTCCGCTCTGTCCGGGCTACGGCGATGCCGGCCGGTCGATGGAAATTGTTGCTTAATTTCATCGTAAACGTTCGCTCGCGGTTATTCGATCGCGAATTAATTCGTTGGAATGGTTCACTGGCTCGCGATCGCCCGGTATGGCTCGATCTCGATCGTCTCGTCGATCGTCGAACAATTTGCTGATCACTTTTCGATGCAAGGAAAACTGCAGTTCAAATTCAAGTACGTTCTATTACACGTGCCTGGAAAAAGTTGCAGTTGCTCGTGGTTATCCAGTTTAACCTTTCGATTAGTTGGCAATTAGTATGAACCGACGATGAATGCGCAAAATAAGCGCAAATAAACACTTACGCGCGAACGTCGAAACGCATTAATAAGTTGTTCACATTGTTCTGATTAGGATGTGCAAACAACCTTGGCAATCATTTGCACAAGTCAAAATGCATTAGTGAATCGTTGACACCGTTGTGATTAGAAGAATCGCGAATTTTGAAACGTCAATGCATGATCTTTCATTTATTAACACGTTGAACGGCACGTTACCCATGTTTGGGTGACGACTATGTTTCCGCAGTCTTGTATGTTAACAACCTTGACAAATATATGCACAAGTCAAAATGCATTAGTGAATCGTTGACACCGTTATGATTAGAAGAATCGCGGATTTTGAAATGTCAATGCATGATCTTTAATTTATTAACACGTTGAACGCCACGTTACCCATGTTTCGGTGACGTCCAATTAAAGCAGGATTTTGGAGGTAATTTATAGTAATTTTATTTGTAACACAACTATGACGAGTATAAACAGTATAGGGTAATAATAAAGTATAAATTAAACAAGAACAAATATGAAAAATATACTTTATATTATAATATCTTATTATAGTTACGATGGAATTCGTTAAAACATTGTAAACATAATTGGGGTGACTCTGGACACTCAGGACAATACCTTATAGTCGTTTGAAAATTTTTGTTTGTTCACGCTGGGCGTGAAATTAATGCATTTTTTAATTAATTTTAATTAATTAATTTTTTTTATTACTTAATGCATTTTGACTTGTGCAAATGTTTGTCAAGGTTATTTACATATGTCAATTCTAATCAGAACAGTGTAAACAACTTACTAATGCGTTTCGACGTCCGTAAACGTTCATTTGCGGTTATTTACGCATTCACCGTCGGTTCATACGAATTGCCAACGTGTTAAAAAGATTAAAGGAAAGATGAAGTTGCTACTTGATTTCTACTCTTCGCAACTGATGTAGACAATTTATATTTCCGTAACGGTATATTCTGTGAAACTTCGTTTGTTAACTTCCTCGGTTATATTAAATTTCCTTATTCTTTTATTTTGTTTATTACTGAGTAAAAAAATTTAATATGTCGTATTCGATAAATATAAGGTAAATTATTTACTCGAAAGCGAACTCAAGAGACACAGCGATTGGACTTCCTACAGTAATCGGCTCCACTATCCTAATTCTGAACAAAATAAACATAACAGAAAACAAGATTTTGCCACAAATGCGGTAGAATTAGAAGAATGGCTGAGACTGTTCCCAAAGAAATGCAAAGAATTATGTGCTACAGCTTCGAGACGACCGACGAATAGTTACAAGATCGTAGATTTTACGCATTTATGGTAAAAATGTATAATTTAAGTACAGAGCAAAAACGATACCATAAAACTGTCAGAATATTCTCACATTACTTTCGCTTTGTTAAGATCATTAAAAGAAAAAACGCACTCTTATCTATCTCCCAATTGATAGAGAGAGATATTGAGAGAGATTGCAATTGATAGAGATAATTTTTATTATGCATGAAGATCCGCAGTCGAGCAATTACGATCACCACGATCACTTTTCGATCACGAAAGTGCTCAGAAAATAATCGATTACCGGTGAACTCTGCCGAAAAATCGGCCGCTGCGAACGCAGGAGGGAAGAGCGGTGGGTGTAAGATGTCTATTAGAAGGGGAAGAGGGTGGTGCCAGGCGTAGAAGTCAGGTGGGCAAGGTGAATCGCGGGAAAGGTTGACGTCGCGTCGCAGGGGCGTTCGGCGGTGTTCGTCGGCGGCCGCGCGGGGGTGCAAGGGTGGCGCGAAGGTGGTGGTGGTTATCGAGGGAACGTCTGTCGGCCTAGAAGCAGCTCGATCGCGCGTCTACGGTGGGGGTAGAGGATACGCTCAGCCATGTGCTCGCGCGTCGACGCTCGATCGGTGATCAGTCGTAGCCGCGCGCTCTCTTCGAGCACGTCGTGTATATCCACAAACGCGTTCCCGTTCGTTTCACCGCGATCCGCCGCAGTCCGTACACGTTCTCGAGAGACACAGAGCATCGTCGTCGAGCGATCTCCGCTCTAACAACAATAACAACAACAACAACAACAACAACGACTTCTCGACTCTAAGCCATCGACATCGTTCCTACGATGACGTCAGTGTGCGCCGAGTGCTCGCGCGTGTGATCGTTCGATTCGGAGCGGAATTTGTGCGAGACCGATCCGGGTGATCGTCGTCGAGGAAACCGAGCGACGAGGCCGATACAGAGCAAGAGAATATCCACGTGTGCCGGGGACGTAAGATGCCCAGGTGATTCGCCCCGAGACCACCACGTTCCTCGAGGCCCCGATCGTTTCTCCTAGATCGCGTTCGATCGGCTCGCGCGAGGGGGCACAGGTCGATCGAGAGCAGCTACCCTTTTCGGCTAGTGTCGCTCGATCCATCCCCAGGCTCGGTGGAACGCATCCTGGCGCGTTGTTCTCGCCGTACAGTGGAATCGTCGACGATCGTGCCGCGATCATGCACCACACGGCACCCTGGTACCTACCCTGGGGCCTGAAGCTGGTGCCGTTGCCGATCCCGCCTGGACACCCCGCTTCCGGCATACCGAACCCCGGCCTGCACCTGCTGGCACCGTTGCCAGGCATCTACGCCCCCGAACCGAGAAAGGTAGGAGCCCGTTAGCACAGCTTTTTCATCCCCTACTCGCGATTATCGATCCGGCGACTTTGCCAGTCTCTGTTCGATCGAGACGGTTCCTCGCGATCCCGGGCGATCCAGGGCCGATCGGAACCGAACGATATTTTGTCAACGCACCACTCATCGGTGTTTGTTTTCGTTTGTTCGATTCGGTTTGTCCGAGATCGTGTGGGTTTTCAGTGAGCATCCTTGGAAGCGGGTTCCGTCGGAATTTGCTGTTTGACGAAGTTTGACGGAGGTTTAGTTTATCCGAATTCTCGAACGATTTTATTCGTGATCTCAGGAATTTGCAGCGAGTACTGTTCTTTGAACTCTCGATACGGTTTTATGTTTGACCCAGTTCGATGGAGGTTTGCGAAAACCAACAGATTTTTGGATTATTGATTTGACGCGTCGATGTCGAGTGCAGCTGTCCGAGGCTCGGCGTTTGCGAGACTTTACCGTTTCACGAGAATTTGACTTCGTGGGGGTGCCTGATGCTTAGACCGTGGGTAACGTGAATTTTTAGGTATAGCAGGTGTTTCGGGACCTGGCACCGTGATAATTTAGTGGTTGTTTAGAGTTTGCCGATCGCGATGAGAAATATGAATCTGTTCGGAGAGATTTGTGTTTGCACAAACCACTCGCAACGGTCTACGATTTGTTCCTCGAAATTAACGAAATTAATTCCTCGAAGTTGTTCACATATTGATCCTTCGGGTGACGCGGATGTTCGAGCTTGATCGGTGTGTTTGATTAGGTTTGCGACAGCTTGGAGCGTGCAGTTAGACCAAATTTTCGAGAAATATTATTATGTAATAATATTATAATTGGAACATGGATTTGATGTATTTTTTAAAACAAATGAATAGATAAAAAAAACAGAATTAAAAGGACGTTAGAAGAATTTAAGAATACTGTTACGTTATTTTCAACTTATTACGATTTTTAAAAGAGGAAAGACGTTTTTATGTAATTTATATTTCTTAAAATGAACTCGGATAATATTTATTTTGCATAAAGACATTATTATAAAATTGTAACTTATATAGTAATATAATAACTAGACTGCGGATTTTTATGCAAAATAAAAATTGCCTGCATCGATTGAAAGAAATAGAAATTAATTAGCAAGTTCATTTCTTGTTTAGTTGTTTTAAAAGATTAAAAATAATACATTGACATATCAAATTCTTTTAACCTTTTTACTATTTTAAATCGAATTTATTTAATTTTGTTATGAATGCTCACAAGACCTGCAGTCTAATTATATAACTTAGATAGTAGCGTTATAACTTACATAGTAATGTTATAAATTGCACAGTAATATTACAACTTATATGGTAATATAATTCGCAAGGTAATATTATAACTCGCATAGTAATATTATAAAAAAATATTTCAGCGTGAAATTTGTGATTTCTTCAGCTCCAAAAATTTCTGCGACCTTTGAAAATTTCTCTCGCAGGGATATTTTTCGATGGATTATTTTCGACGGATTATTTTTCGCGCTTGACGTACTAAAATCGCCCGATCGGAAACGCGGGACTCGGCGTATCGGTTTATTGTTTTCTGTTAAACAGCGGAATCAGTAACAAATAGTTGGCCGACGTTGGCGACCGCATCAGCTGGAACTCCGATTAAAACTGCATAGTTCATCGTACGGAGTTTGTCGATCGTAAAGGGTTAAACGGGGGTAAACGTTCGCAGCCGTAAACCCAACCCGTAAACGAAAGTTTTATTAGTTTACATTAGCCGCGAGCCGGTAAACCATTAGCCTCCGTGTTATCAGTATATTTTGAACGGTCTTATGCAGCGATAAATAATCGTTATTTATCGCTTTCGAAATCCAGAAACATTTCCCACGCAAACCGCGTATTTCGAGTCGAAATTGTTAGCTTTCCAGGAACAACGGCACGAGAAGTTCTCTTTTCTCCTTTTTCGGACAAATTCAACGAATTAGTTGCTTCTCGTTCGCGGACCAACTTTTATCCCCCGATGTATATCACTGCTTTTCCAAATTGTTTTTCGACGCGGTCCACGCGGTTCGGGAGAGCCGAGTACTCCGACGAGTTGTCTCTCGGCGCGTTAATTATCGCCGCTCGTAAAAGTTTCACGCCTCGGCGTCCTTCAAGATGTCGTTGTCGACAATTATATAATGCTATATTTTCGACGAGCCACTGTCGAACGCGAGCGGCGAGCCGTGTCCGCTGATCGACGCAGATTTTCACCAAATTGGTCGGAAATATTCAAATTTCCTCAGCCTGGTTTTCAGTCGTTACAACTCTCCGTCCGTCGATTTCACCATTTTCCCGAACTTAATACGTACTACCGGTCCGTTCGGGTCTATTTGACCCGACAGAAATTTTATATGCTCGCAACTTTGTCATTATTCTGCATCACTTAACAATTACTTTGCAAGTAAATTCTATGCTCGATGAACTATTTCGCATAAATGAAACGATAGCTATTACATCGAAGCAGGGTTGGGGAAAAATAGATGTTTGAAATGGTAAATAAACTATAAATATTTTTGTCTTCTCACATGTAATACAGAATTTGGCAAATAAACTATTCTTTGAAATAACAGTTACGTACGGATGTTACGTAGTTAAACATATTTAAAATGCTGTACAATGCTATTCAAACAAAGTTTATTCGCCAAATTCTGTATTACACGAGAAGATCAAAATATTTGTAATCTATTTAACGTTTCAAAAATCTACTCGAGTAAAAGTAACGCGTGATCTGTTCAACTAGTAAGTAATAATTAATTTAAAACTGTCTATGCATCATTCTATCGCTTTCAATATAAGCTATTGTATATCTTGTAAGAGCAGGAGGGTGGGTATCTCGCGAAACATTCAGGTTTACCAGTAAGGATCTCCGGGCAGAATTTTTCGGCGAGAATTGTCAGCGGTGAATTTCTCAATAAATGTAATTTTCAACCGAGAAACTATCTATAATCTCGCGTCCCGGCGACTCGAAAGTGGAATTTCCGGAAAGATCTCGGGCGGAATAGGATTCGAAAGGGGTAGGTTCCGAGGCAAACCCGTCACATTTCGCTGCACGTCGGATTAATTCCGCGTTACAGAATTTCCAGGCGTGTCTCGGGTACCGCTCTCGCGTGAAATACTGTCACTTTTCAGGAAGGAAATATTCTTCGGAGAAATTGAAAAGTATTAATTCCAGGGGAGCGGAGCTCCCATTGGTCGGCTTGAATTATTAGTTGCACGACGGAGCCCCGTGTAATCGATTCCCGGCGCAATACTCTCCAAGGATGCGGAAAATAAATAGACGCAGGAAGTTATCGGTGGAAGTTCGTAATAGTTCCATACGTATTCAAGTCGTTTCGCGAACTGATGGACTCACGAGCACGTTCTATGCAATAAAAGGTGACTCACTCGCTCAAATATCGCAGTCCGCGGCTTCGAAAGAATTATTCTCTTTTTGCTCCTACTCTCTCTCTCTCTCGCTCTCTCTCTCTTATCTCTCTCTCTCTTCCTCGTTCTCGTTCTCTCATTTCATTCAGAGGAAGGTCACCAAGTCGGTAAATGCTGAGCAAATAGCTATGCTGAAACGATCTCGCGGGCCATTCTTTAAGGATCCGCGAATGTTTGCAATTAATCTACCACCTGCCAAGAGAATCGCCAACTGTTTCCACCGTTCTGTCTCTACGGTTTTGTCTGATCGCTTAAGAATTCCGGTGACGAGTTCTTACGATGAATTCTTCAGCGATCCGAACGGATGAACGTTGATCTTTCAACGGGCTGCTCCTGAATGTTTCGGAGCAATTCCGGATTGGACTGAATTATTTCGCGGCGGAAACGAGTTTCTCGAATGATCCGCCGGATCGGCAATTATCGTCTGTCTCGAGGACGCGTGGAACTTTTTAGCCACCTCCTTGGAGAGACGATTAAATCTTCAGCGATCTATAGGTTAATCGATACTGGATGTAACCAATAATGAAACAGCCTTTTAAATTTTAAAGAAATGCTTATCTAAGAATATTATTATTACTAGACTGCGGATTTTATGCATTTTTTTGCAAAAGTGAATCGGTGAAATACAAAGTAGTGAAAAACATTAGGAGAATTTAGCAACATTGCTGCATTGTTTCCAACATTTTAGAACTGTTGAAAGAAGACAAACATTTTCATTTAATTCCCGCTTCTTAGAATTGGTGTAGGACATTTTTATTCTGCATAAAGATACGCGGATTAATTATTAATTATTAATTAAACGGACGAAATACAATTTAAATTATAAAATATAATATATACATCGATTTAATTATAAAAGCACGTACTATAAATTACAGTATAAATATTCGATAAAGCTGTCGAAAAAATTGTCGCGAAAACTTGTCTCCGATATTTTCGAACAAGCAAAACGTTGGATAAATGTTAAAACTGCCAGGTCCAGAAATTAGCCTGTAGAAATTGCATTAATTATCGAACGAAGTTCTTCAGCAGTATCCTTTGAGAGTATACCTGATTTTTAACATCACCTGCATTCTTTCCTACGAATGTATATTTTCGAAATCGTACAGCACGCAGGATTTCAGACTGAGATTTTCATTTAATTATAATTCCGTTGATGGGATCCCGAGTGCCAATTATAAGCTGATGGTTAATTAAGAGGTTTGGACGCCCGGAACTGATGAATCGCGGAATGCCGTCGGGATTAATTAATTTTACGAAATCTCCTGCTGATTTTTTATGAAACATTCGAAGCTGTATCGCGTGTTCTAGACGCGTTGTTCGCCGAGCTTCGTGTTTTTTTTTTCGTTTTTGGTTGTCCGAAGAAACTCTCGCATTATTTCGGAACGTGTGAACGCGTCTAGGAACGTTTGCACGCGTTGAACGTGTGACACGTGGCCTCGCTGTTTATTTAAACGGAATGGCTGTCAAATCGTTTGCGGTTTGACCGTTTGTGGTCCGACCACTCGTGGTCTTGGGTAAAATTTGTGCTATTAACGCGCGGTGACT